TGTCCTGGACCCGGTGGCTTAAAACTCACGCCGGGCGCGTGTGCGTGCGTGCCCAAGATCCCGAGAAGAGACTGGAGGAGAAGGGATTGCGGCGTGACCATCCCCCCGGGGGGTGATTTCTTGCTTTCTGTCTCTATGTCTCTCTCTGTCTCTCTGGCTAGCGCACGCGCCCTACAGTGAAAATCTCTCCAAAAAAAAAAAAAAAAAAGTGGAAAGGCTTGTGTCGAGGTGGAGAACACTGTCTTGGTCAAGGCTCCTGATACCAAGGCCTCCATGTGGAAGTGCTGAATTAGGAATGTAGACGTGCTATGAGCAGTGCTATCTCAAAGGTTAAATCCTTGACTACAAGTCACTCTGGAAAATTACAATGAATTTTGCTATTTAACAAGGTTAGTGGACAGGTTCTCCTCTTTTGGTCTGCCAGGCAAAGTCTTGTAATTGTTGCTAGGTATGAAGGATCACACACAGGAGGTTGTCCTGGAGTCAGACTATTTAATGCATGTAACTTATAAGGGGATTTCAAAGTACATAAAGCTAAAAGTTATAGAACTAACGGAAGAAATGGACATAGCATACTTATGAGGCTTTAACACTTATTTTTTTTTTTTGTAATTGACAGCACAAACAGCTAAATTATTAGTAAGGACATACTTGAGCTAATAAACATTTTTAGTACACTATTGCTAAGAACTGCAGAATGTATGTCCTTTTAAAGTACTCATGGAAGCTGGGTCATAAAGTAAGTCTTAATAATGAAAAAAATGAAAAGTCATATATAGTATATTCCCTGATCATGTCAAAATAAAATTATAAAGAGAAAAAAAACCTAGAAAACCCCCCATATATTTGGAAATTTTTAAATATACTAAATAGGACATCATTTAAGGAAGAATTTGGCCCGCCAATGACCTGGTGGCTAAGGCGGCTGGATCCCTCATGGCTGACTGCACAGTCCTGGACCCAGTGGCTTGAAAAACATGCTTGACACATGTGCCTCCATATCCAAAACCTTATACAGAGGTAGAAATGGAGGAGAAGGGGTTGTGGTGTGATCATTTCCCATGTGAGGTACCTTCTTACTTTCTCTTTCTTCTCTCTTTCTTTCTAGTAAGTACATGTGCCCTCTGCAAATGAAAAAACAAGAATCACAAGGGAAGTAGAAAATATTTTGAATTAAAAAATAATAAAAGCACAATAAAGTAAGTCACTCTTACTTCCATTCCTCAGTTCCCAAATTCAAATATTCTGAATATTATCCAAACATACAATGGGAGAAATTGGTCACTATGTAAACATATACTACATCTTGTTAGACGGTACTCCAACCTTTAAAGACGCTGTTTCTTGGACAGTCCTCTTAATGAGTGTCTGTTAGGTCATAACAACTTTGTGTAAGACAGTCAATTCTAGACCAATTTTTCTCAAACATTTTTTTTATTATCTCCCATCACAACTCCCAAGGAAATTTTTAAGACATTGTCCCCTTATTATTGTAATGTGTAAGAATTATTTTGGTCCCTAGAGCCAACATTTGTCTGATTTAAGAACATTATAGAATGATATCATTCCTATTAAGAATGTATGTTCCAGAAGATAGGGTAAAGAGTTTAATGTTAATTTCACTGGCATGGGGTCCTTTCTCTCTCTCTCACTCTCACTCTTTCTCTTTTTCTTTCTTTCTTCTTCTTTTCCTTCTTTCTTTTTCTTTGATTCCGGAGGGCAAGTAAATAAATGTGAAAGAGAAAGAGAGAGAGTAGAAACATCCGGAGTGGGCCCTGGTCATGCTTGAACTCTTTTTCCTCCATTGCTCCATCCCACCAGGATCCTGGACACGTGTGCATGTGCTAGGCATGCTTTCAAGCCTCCAGGGCTGGGATCTGAACCACAGTCGGCCATGTGGTATTTGGATCCCTATGTACAGAGCTAAACTGCAGTACTACAGGCCCAGCTTTTTGGAATGCCTTTTAATCTATCGACTACTTTGTTGATCACGAAAACAATTCACAAATATTGAGGCTGATTTTTTTTTACATCCATGCCCAGAAACATTCACTCCTGGAGTAATGAAATAACTTTCCCTTTATTTGTAGAAAATAATGAACAAAGGGCTCATTTTTCCATATTTTCAAAATAAAAAAAGCTGAATATGTATTATAAATTAATCACCTTACATCTGTAATTCTTCATACCACCAAGAATCTAACTGCATACTAAAACTAATACATTTTCAAGCAAAAATACAGTCGATGACTTACCATTATTTTCATTTTAGCTTTAGGGGTAATTCATAAGTAATTAATGTCTTTAGATTCTTAATACCTGGTTTTGAAAGCCTAAACTAAAATAAAGTAGAACAGCAGGACTCAGTAAAATCTCTACATATTTATTGACTTAGTGATAGTTGGTTAAAAGTTAAATCTGTTTTCCTCATATGCTCTGAGACTAGCTTAGGATAACCCACATTTATACGTGAGCTCTGCCTTTTCTTCTTTTCCTCCAAATGATTTGGCTAAACACCATGCAAATTTTCCATTAGGTAATAGGACGTCCTTTCCTAAAATAGCTGTAGCCCAAAAGGTTATGTTATGTGAGAATGATGTCAGATAATTAATAAGGAGATATGGACAAAGTATCTTGATCAATTTCTGAGAAGAAATGTACCAAAAAAGACAGACCAAGGTCACTTTTCCTGATATCACTCCCTCTGAGAATGTGTCTGGCAGAACTGGGCCAGTAAAGCCCAAGGGAAATGGGAGTTCGGAGCAATTATCTAAATAATTCAGACAAGAAGGTACACTTGGGCTTTTCAAAGTCACCCACATAAGCAGAAGGGGAATCTAAATCTTTTGCATCTTGTCCAGTATTTATTAAACTGTCTCCATGACACACATACTAATACTGACTTATTACAAAAAGAAACAATCTTATCACTGAAAAAAGCAGGGTCATGTATATTAATCATATTAAACAAATACTCAATTTCCTTTCTACTTTGCCCAACAGATAGTTTCTTCCATTTCCATAAGAGGTACTTAGAATGTTCTTACATTATATTCATACCAATCATATTTTTTTATTTCTAAAATATTTCCCATACTAAATAGCATGACTTCATCAATAAGGAAAAAAAACTGATTATGGATACAAGATAACGCAGACATAGAAAGGGAATGGCGTCACCCACTCACTTCTCGAAAATAAGGAGACTCCACAAGCTATATTTTTTTAAAAAATCGTTTTATTCGCAGAGTACATTTCCAAATCTTCTCCAAGTAAGGGAGGTAGAGAAATCAAGATTTCCTAAACCTTCTCGTTGCCAGCCATAATTACAATGAACACACCAACGAAAAAGACATGTTTTTACAGCAGACCTCCTCCTATGACATTGCATTTAGATTCTGTGGAAAGAAACAACCAGAACCAAAAGAGATAGATACTATTTTTTCAAGTCATACTATAAAAAGTACCAATTATTTTTTTAACCTGCTATATTATATATGAAACTCAAAAAAAAAAAGGGCATTGATTTCCCCCCACACTTTATACCAATAGAGTTTAGCTTATTAGGAAGAAGCAGTTCCAGATACACTTAAAAGGCAATTTCAATTTTATAGTCTCATCTAAAATCTTTTCCAGGATTATTATACCCATTGACTAGTGATCAAACTACATTGTATGAGAAGGAAGAGGATTGAAATTTTCTATTTCCTTTTTGCCTCCAGCCTTTGAAACTTCCCTCTTGAAAAACACTTTGCACAAATATGCAATAATATATGATGTGCAAGAACAGAGATAAAAAGAACAAAGAGAAAATTTCCCCCATCACTTTTCAGATCAACCATGCTGTATAGTAAAGGGTTTCGGTAATATTCCAGACTTTTAAAAAATGAAGCAAGTTTTCAATGGTGCTATCTTTGCCTGTTTGCTCTCCTTCCTTCTAGTTTCTTTGACTATAGTGTCCCCTAGTGACCACCAACCATCTTCAATCCAACTGAATCCTGTGTACTATAGGGGGAGTGTTTATAGTAACCTACCAACAGTAAAGCCCAATGGGTTGGTGCTTGAGATTGAATACAAAACAGGGACAGATTGATTCCTTGCTTCTCCAAATAGTAGGATCTGCTGGAAAACCAAATTCCTAATCTATGACTCCTCCTATAGCTATCACCTAAGGAGCTTTCTATCAGAAGGTTCTACGACTTCAACAAAAGATATTTACATTATGTTATCAGACTTCTCCAAGGCCTATATGCTATTGTGTATTTCTACAAAATAGTCTCATTTGTTACATTTGTAAGAGTTCTTGCTGATGTATAAAGATACAATTCAGAACAGACACTGATACATCTCTAAAGGACATCCACAGACGTCCAGACATCCGGTAAGGGAATACATAATGACGTGGGAGCCGAGCCACAAAAAATTAAGGCACCCTCTGCCACTCTCCAGCCCCACCCAATCATCCATCTCCCTTTTCCATGGACAAATGCAAGGGGTGTGTGTGCACACGTGTGCACATGTGGATATATGTACTACACTACAATGCATGGAGAAATGCAGCTCAGTCCACCTAAGTGATGATGGATACTAAGACTCAAGAAATTGTGGGGGCAGGAGATTAAAGCTTTGGAACTCTGGTGTACACAGCATAGGGGGACCATGTTCCAAAGCGTTAAGATTAGAGGTGACACTTCCTGCTATCACTGCCTCATCATGACGCGAGATCCAAATAATGATCTTATTTTGAGAGAATGCACGAAAGTGCACATAAACAAGAGTCATGAAGGCCAGCTGGTGGTGATGTGGTTAAGGTAGCTGGCCTGCCACACCCAGTGGCTTCAGAAACATGTCCAAATCTCAAAAGGAAGGAGAGATGGAGGAAAAGGAATTGCAGTGACCATCCCCCATGGGGGGATGCTTCTCACTTTCTCTCTCTCTCCCTGTCTCTCTCTCTCTCTCCCTGTCTCTCTCTCTCTCTTTCTCTCCCCCTTTCTCTCTATTTCTGTGGTGAGGCATGGACCCCCTGGCAAAATTAAAAAAAAAAAATAGAAAGACAAGAAAATGTGAATGTTCACTTCACTGGGCTCAAACACTCAGGAAGCACCACTCTGAGAAAGGCAGGAAGAGGAGGAGCCTTGAGGCCCTCTAGGTCCAAGTAGGTAACAGGTGACACTCTTCTGTTCCCTCCCTAAGTGGCTCACAATCTGGATCTCACACCATCTTCTCCAGCATCTTCTCATTAGGGAGCATAACTGAATGACATGTATTTCCTTTAAAATATTTGAAAATGCTCAATGAATGGGGCTGCTTCAAGGAAAACAGCTTCTTGCTTGTTTTCTGCTCACTATGCCTGAGATCCTTCTCAACAATCTTTTCACATTAAAACCATGATTTGAAGTGTGAAGTGTATTCATTTTGAGTAATTCATTGTACAAGCTGCAGTGATGTACAGTGATTGAATGTATAAACATAAATTAAAATAATAATAAAAACTGAAAAAAAAAAACCCACCATGATTTAATCTCCTTTTTTCCAATTCGGTTAACCCTTTTTTAGATCACAATTTCGGTCTCTCTTACTGTGCAGAAAGAGTTATGAAACTCTGATTTTTCTCTGCCTTAAACTAAATCGCATTTCTTGGATGTTTATTGGGATTCTGTGAAAAATACACTTATATACGACGAGTATTTGGAGAAAGTCTAATTATATAGAAGACACAGGATCAATATATTTGGGTATTATTCTGTAAAACACCTGGTCAGCTTTTGCATTGGTGGTTATATCCCACAGCTTCGATAAGAAAACAAAATCAGCAAGGGTGTTAGCACAATAGAGAGATCGACAGGAACACAGGGGAAGAGGGTGAATGAGTGGTCATAGAATATAATTCCTCTTTTGTGCTTTAAAAAACTTACAGTCGTGGGCTTTAGCTATCAAAAATAAATGCTCATAGCTTTTATAAGTCAATATACAATATGTATTCCTTACATGCTAGAGAGTAGAAATCAGAAATGTTGGCACCAGAAAAAAAGAAAATCAGACAGACACAGAAGCATGTATTTTTTTTTTCCATATTGCAGCGATGAACAGAGGTTGTATTATGTTTGAATAAGCTTACCACTCGCACTCTTGTTTCAATCGCTCACTTCTGGATGTACATAGAATGTTCAAAAGAGCAGCATAGGTTGAGGGTAAAACAGACAGTCAGGACATGTCCACACCGACTCTCTGGTCACAATGCTACTAGCTCACTCTCAGCCAAGCCAGCTCTGCCGGTAGAGGACAGAAATTGAGGTGATGGAAAGCCAAGTTCATTGGGTGATGACCTCGCTGAGGCTTTGTATGCTTTGAGTTTAGGGGTAGGGTCATCTCTTCTTTTTCTCTTGCCTCATCCTCTCCCCTAGCACAGAGTGGAAGGAAGCTGTCAGCATTACTAGTTAGAAATACTGCTGACTTTATTAGAGGCACCAACCTTGGTTGCAGGATGCCCTGAAATTGTCCACTTACCTCCACCCTGACGTGTGCCCACCAAAAATTGTGTAATCAGAGGGTCAGCCTCTTATTAGAAAGGTATAGAAATAAAGAAAAGTAGTTCTTTCAGTCTTTACTCTTCCACATATCTGTCTTCCAGTTCACATGAACTTCTACAGACATGGAACAGCTAACCTGCTTTAGATGCGGAAGAGGTACACAACACGGTATTTCACAGGATACTGAAACTCAAGTTGTCAGTAGACTGATGGCTTTTTGCCCGTTCGATGCCTTTTCACAGGGATTTGTCAGCTAAAAATCTCACCAAGTCAGGATTTTCAAATAAAAATTACAACTATAGATAGCTAACTTTCCAACTGAAGCACGAGGGAGTTCCCAAACTACCATAGCTGCTGGCAGAAATGTTAGCAACAGTGTTCCATTTTGGATCATCTGTAATATGCCTATAAAGCATTTGACTTTGAATCTAAGAATATTTTGGCACATATAGAATCCCAGGATTTCTTCAGCTATTTCCATTTTAAGCCACATTGTCCAGATTGCTTCAGGTATGTTATATTTAGTCTAAACAACTTTTAGGCCAAGAGAGAGACATGAGATATCACAAAGCCAAACACAGAGTATTGTCTGAGTAGCTGCCATTTTGGATAATTTACTTTCTACCTTTGTTAAAATACTGAATAATGAACTATAAAAAAAAAAAAAAAACCACAAAGGCAGGAGACAGTTGCTTAACTTCTTTTGTGAGAACGATGCAGCTTAAATGCACAATTTTGTATAAACTTTTAGTAAAATATTCTAAATAAAATATATGTGTCCAGGAGCCCTCTTCTATCTAAAAATATTTCATATAAAACATTGCTTTTCTTTCTTATTGAATGATTTAATCCTTTACGTATTTTAATTTTACTGAAGTGTGATTAAAATTAAACAGAGGTTATGCTTATTCATGATCTTAAGATTCAATGCAATTCCCAAATTGGGAATAATAAAAATTCAAAGTTCTATTAGGTTCTCCACCCCCCAACACTTCCTTTTGCCCCCATGAAACAACATAATTTTTATCACTAACAAAATGTAAAAAATTAGTTTGATGGTAGAAAGTGATGCCCTCCCTGGGCAGATACATCAACAGTGATGAGATATTTTGTTATTGAATAGGTTTAGCAAAACCTGAATAATGTTTCTGAGCTGAACCTTAAGGGTCAGTAGTATTAAAATAGAATTGACCAAATATGGCAAAATACCAGGATCAATGATAAAGTCTTAATTTCAGATAAACAAAATAAAGCAATGGGAGTTTAGAGTTGAACTTCTTAATAGCTAGAGTATTCTAGAGAACTCTATAGGATACAGAGGTCCTTATTTAGGTACACATATGTTTCAAGAGGACAGGGTTACTTTACTTCATGCTATACACAGATACACACATATGCACACACACACATTTGGTTTAGATACATCTGCCTAGACAGTCACAGAAAGGGGATACATGTATTTGGTATTTCTATGAGTTCTAGTTACAAAGTAATACCAAATGATAATCCATCCTAAGAAAACATTCTTGGACCAGCAGATAGCATGGTAGTTAAGGCGCATTGACCCCACATGGCCGACTTCATGGTTCCAGTCCTGGACTAGGAGCTTAAAAAACACAGCGTGTGTGTGTGTGTGTGTGTGTGTGTGTGTGTGTGTGTGTACGTGTGTGTTTGCCCAAAATCCTGAGAGGAGAATGGATTGCTACATGGTCCTTCCTGCCAACGCATGCTTTGCTTTCTCACTTTCTCTCCAATTTTCTCTTTCTCTGGTGAGGACACACACTCTATAGCAAAAAAACTAAATATAAACATTAAAAAAAAAAGAAGAAAATGTTTTTATTAAGTCACTCATACTTTGAATATGTGTCTTTAAAGGAAGAAAATGTGGAATAATCAAAATTTCATTTTGCCCTAATCCAGGGTTTCTTAGTCTTGGCACTGTTGACATTTTAGACCGGGTAATTATCTGTTGTGAGGGACTGACCTGTACATTTTAGGATGTTTAGCGAGATCTCTGGCCTCCACCCACTATATGCTAGTAGCACCCTCGAGTCATGATAGTGAAAAATGTCCTGAGTCATTGCCAAATGTCACAGAGCAGGGAGGTGAATCACCCTAGATGAGAAGCACAAGTCTAATCAAATATTACCAGTATCTGGCGTGTCTGTTTTGCTTTCCAGAAGCCCCATAGACTAGTTTAAATTTACAGGATAAACACTGTGCACACCTATTGCATAAATCTATCCATAAAATTTCCAGAAAGCATTTTCAATGGAGCTCATGGATTACACTTTAACATTTTAACAACACAAGTCCTAATGTGAGTTATTCATATTTCATATTTCACTAACTTTTGTACATTTTTCTTTTACTAACCTTTTAACATTTTTAATGAAGTATACTGGCAAAAAAGGTATTCCTTTCAAAGGTAATTATTAAATAGTTATAATAGCTCAAAAGAGGAAATATATTCAGCATTTGAAGTTTTGCATGAAGTAAATATTTACCTCATAGTACAGTTTCTACATTTTTGTTGTCGTACAGGATCAGAACAGCAAACCATCTTTACACAGAATGATACTCTTAAATTCTTAACTTTCTAGCATCATTATTATAATCTGTGTTATGTCACCCATCATATTTTAAGTGCTAATTTCTACATAGAATAACCCCTATAACCTAGAATAACCTGAATATTGAATGACCTCAATATTCAATCATTTTTAACATTGTCTACCCCAATGATGTAGACTATTTCCAAGGGTTCTGTTATTTTGGTATCTAAGTTAAGCTGCCAAAAAAAGAAATGCCACTATTTTCATCCTAAATTTCTACTATTACAATTGCAGTCAAACTTTCTGATATAGTTTGCCTACATTTTGCTGACATTTAAAAGAATATGAGGTCTAGAGTCTCTTTTAGCTTAAGTCGTCCCAAAGGACAACAATGAGAGGCTCCCTTTCCCTTTCCCTTAAATGTAACCATGTCTGTCTGCTTGCAATCTGCCAGTAGTAGACTGTTCTTGCTGTGTGTCAAAGCAGAGGTAACAATCTAAGTAGTTCTACCTACTCCTGAGGAAATGAATGGCTACAAATTCATATACCTTCACTTAAATGAAAGATGCCTCATGTGACCAGACTCAGTACAGAGCCCATTCATAAGATCCTGGAGTGAGTCACAATGAGAAAAATAATTTTCTTTCTGACTAAACATTCAAAGGTAGAACTCATATCTCATGCTGGTACAGGCATTTGAGTAGCAGCCAGTAAACTGCATTGTCTGTCAACATGGAGTGGCTACCTTGGGCTCAGACTTTGCCATATCAGGTCATGTGAGTTCAGCTTTCACAGTTGCATGGGAATGAACTTTGTGTGTGTGTGTGTGTGTGTGTGTGTGTGTGTGTGTGGACATGTGTATTTGCATGCTTGCATGTGTGTCCTTATCTTTCATCTTGGAGTGAATAAAAAAGACATTTGCCTTTGAGTCTGTCTTCCACAGAGACTAAGCTTTACGTCATTGTGCTTTACTTCCTCTCCGATCAAATTAAGTGATGACGACAATATGCCAATTTACAAATAGATAATGCACTCATGCTTTCCATCTTTTGCACTCAAATAATAATAACAATACAAACGGGCTCATGTAACACAGACCTGAAATTATGCAAAACTGAATGTGTGCTTATGTCCTAACTCTGAGGAGGGAAAGTGGCTCATGTTATCCAGACTATGAATCCACACAGTCTAAATTCAACAATGCATCACATGACTAGGCAGACTTGACAAAGGGAAACAATGCCTATTTAAAGTTTGTTAAATACAGGGGCACTACAGTGGATGTAGACATGATTCAACAAATCAGGATAATCAATTGTAGCATTTTGTATCCATATGACTCAGTAAGGGGCTTTTTCATCTACCCCATCACCCACTCACTGCCCCTAAACAGGGCAAAAATAAATTGTAATTTTTTAAAAAATCTACAGTTCTAATACCAGTCTTAATAAGACAGGTTTTCTGTTTGTTTTTTTGTTTGTTTGTTTGTTTGTTTTTAAGCCAGTTTATGTTGACAATCAGCAACACTTAACCCGGCATTTCTTTTATCCTACTTTGGAGTTCCTCAGCCTCAAAAATCAGAGTCTGCCTTGTTTTTGAATGATGTCGTCTAGACTTGAACCACGTAAATGTGTTTTACCTCACTGTTCCACCAGTCTTTTGCTAGTTGCAAATCCACGATGTGTTAGTTCCATAAGATGGTTCGTTCTTACCTGTCCTCCTAGCCAACGTTAAAGTGTAGTATTGCTTAGATTGTTGTCCTTTCTTGTTTTTCCAGGTAGCCCACACAAATTCATGGAACAACTTGACCATTTCCTTTTGCAGTCGTTTAGAAAACCTAGCAAAAGTACCCTGGCTCAGTCCTTTCCTCTCCCGTCATACCTAGGAAGGTGGCGGGAGTGAGGTGTCCTCACATGGGTCCAGCTGCATCCTCAGGGCTCCAATTTTATGTAGATACCACAGCTGGAGAAATTCCTCTGGCATGGCATGGAAGCCAGAAAAGGGTAAGACATTATCATAGTAGTGGTGACTGATGGGCTGCTCATGCATATCAACAGAGAAGGGCCAAAAGCCATAGATGGCCACCTCTTCACAGAGGCCCAGGGCCGCGCTCACCAGAAAGAGTCCTGTGGAAAGGCGCTTGGCATGGATTCCCCTGTTTTTCCAGAATTTTCCAATGCTACGCAGAAAGTTGGGGTTGGCAAAGAGCACTGTTTGATTGGCACCGACATCTGACAGTGTATAATAAACCCGAAGAGATGGCTCTGTCCCTGTCTTCATGGAAAAGGCAGGCATGTAGATGTAACTGTGGTTATAGATTTTCATGTTGTCCACAAACGTCTTTCTGGACCACAACAGGTTTTGAAACCTATTAAAGATACAAACAGGCTCAATTAAACCTGGAGAAGAAATTCATCAAAATCCACTCTATGTCTTCTGTTGGCTGTGATAGCTCAAATCATCTCAGAGAAGCATCCAAAAAACACTTCACTTGTATTTAAAATCCTTCTTGAATTTATCAAGTGTCCTGGCTTTTCCCAATCCCCATGCCTTAAACTACTTAATGGAGTTCCCTCTGAACTAAAATGCACTGTACATTTTGTTCTCTTCCAGAATGCATTTGCTTGAAATGTAAGCATACTGTTCATGACTTCATAAAGCTAGCAGGCTGGGGTTTTGATAAAATAATGTTGTTATATCTAATATAAGCACAAGACTGGTTTCCTCATCTACAAATCAAAGAAATACTTTCTAAGATACCTCTTCTCACTGAAATTCTGTAAGAATACAGATTAATCAATGCTATAATATAAATCTATTATGTATTTAAAAAAAAGAGTTGCTACCATTAGAAAACAATGCAAAGGCAAGCCCCATAGCCTAGTGGTTAAGGGAACTGGATCCCACATTGTCAACTACGATATGAATCCTGGCCCCAGCAGTTTGAAGAACACACCAGGTGCATGTGTGTGTGTCTCCAAAATTCTGACTGGATGGAGAAATGGAAGAGAAGGGACTGTGGCATGAGCATGTCCCACTAAGAGGTGCTTTCTCCTCCCCTGCTTCTCTCTATGTGTCTCTCTCTGGCTATCACATGCTTCTGGCAATTAAAGAAGGAAAAAGAGAAAGAAACAAAAATGATGCAAAGAGTTGCATATTGCTTGCTCCAAAGAACTCTAGTTTCTCATGCTCTTTCAGTTTGAATTTACATGAAGAGAAGGTCTCTGATCCAAATGCACTCGACTAAATTTATGGCACACATCTTGTATATCAGGCATTGGGGACTTAAAAAAGTAATGAGCCAATTTTTGGTCTCGAGAAATTCAGGTGTTAATTGGAAACAAAAATATAAATGAGTACAACATAATGTTCTAAATGCAGCAGTTGATACTTGCATTAAGAGGCCAGTAGGGGGTGTGATGGTTGAAGTGCTGGATTCCCACATGACCAACCAAGGTCCAAGTCCCAGAGCTGGTAGCTTGAAAATCATGCTGGGGCATGTGTGTGTGTGTGTGTGTGTGTGTTTGAAAGCCCTAATAGGAGAATGGAGAAGGGATTGTAGCATGGCCATGCCCCCAGGGACTGATTTCTCACTTTCCCTCTCTCTCTCAGGAAAGTGAACTGTGACCTGTGGCAAAAACCTAAAAGACTGAGCATTGTCTGAACAAGATGCAAAGAGGTGATAGTATGTAAACACACCTCCTTAAGGAAACAACAGAAAGAATGGCATCTAACCTATAAGGAACACTTAGGTCATAGGCAAGAGTTGCAGTGTACTGGACGAGGAGGATTCAGTCTCCCTGGAATGTGAGAGGGAGGAACGGTGGGGCAGAGGTTGAAGATAAGGATCTCTCAAAAAACCTTTCATGTCTTTCTATTTTGTTTGGATCGTTCTCTATGGTGATGGGGAACCTTCACAGCAGTGACTCCTTACAACCCTTGTGATGATTGTCAGTCTGTCTTCACACACAACACAAATTTAAATGTATTATGGATAGCACAGAAGATAATCTAGTAAAGGAAGCAGTTAGCAGCCTGGAGAACAGGAGCCTGCTGATAACCATCAAGTGAAATGAAAGAGAGGGGGAAAAGGACACTGAGCTAGGTAGACTAGGGTCTGGCAACATTTATTTTTGTTTCTGTTTTTGTTTTTTCACAGAAGGGGAGCTGCCTCTCTCAGGTTACATGCAGGTGGAGCAGCATTTAAGAATGGAACTGAGCCACAAGCAACAGAGGGGAGTCTGGCCTGACAAGCTGGCAGTCTCATCATAAATATGTGAGATTAAAATTCTGAATACACAAAGCCACAGGATTGTATGTAGCAATTGCTGTTACTAACTCTGCCTGCCAAAAAAGGTAGGTTTCTCACACCCAAAAGGAGGAAAATCTGTCAAGCTTTCTTCATGTCCATGATCAAGCAGCTTGCCTTAGCAATCTTCTCTGGGCCCTGACAAATAACCACTTCTCCGAGGGATAACAAGGTCTTTAGGTAGAATCACTTTACTCTAGACACCACGAAAACATGTTTAACCACACTTTGGAGCTGGATCAGCCTCTCTAACACAAACAAGCTCTGCTCTGCAATTTCTTTTATTCTGTCTGTTGTCCGCTCATATCTTCTGTTTTCTTCCTAAAACACGAATGCTTTCCCCCAGAACCTGTACACATGCCACACAGATAACCTCCAGCTCCATTGGAACCAAGGTTGTCACCCTTTAGTTAGAATAACCTGAAGAGTTCACTAATACTGTAGCTTTCTGGGTTCTGATGAGAATGATATAGTGAGCTAAATTTTTATCCAGTACTCCTTGGTAATTCTGATACAAGTATCCATGAGATACACTTATTTAGAAGATCAAAGCATCACTGTAAACGATCTAGCTCTCTGTATCTATGCCTCAACATTTCTTTCTTTATGTCTTCTAACTTTATCCTTGCTGCCATTCTAAGAGTGAAAAGCACTCTCTCTTCCTCTTTGTATCTTGGGATAAGCTGTTTCACACCTTCTAGAAAACTCATGGGCCAGCCCTGTGGTCTAGTAGTTAAGTGATCTGGATCTCACATTGCCTACTGCAGTTCAAATCCTGGCCCCAGTGGTTTAAAGACATGCCAAGTGCATGTGCAAGCATGTTCCAAATCCTAATAGGATGAAGAAATAGAGGGACAGAGATGGTGGCATACTCATGCCCTATTGAGGATGTGTGTAGTTTCTCTCTCTCCCTCTCTGTCTCTCCATCTCTCTCTCTCTCTCTCTCTCTCTCTCTGATGAGCTCATGCAACTTCTGGCAATTAAAAAAAGAAAAGAACTCATGTTCTAAAGTCACTCTCCCCTCTATAAAACATTCAACCTCTCTATCTCTACTGAATTATTCCCTTCTCTCTTCTAAACATGGTTAGGACTCCTCTACTCCCTCTAGCTTTACGAGGTATATTTGACAAATAAAAATCGTTTAAGGTGTGCAACATGATGTTTTGATATACATATACATTATAAAAATGTTTTCTATAATCAGGTTAAAGCTTAATAGGAGAAAATTCTTCTTGATATGCCCATACCATTCCCATTTTACATCAATACTCTAGAGCAGGTAGTACACTTCTCTGGTCTTCTCTTCCTTCCACTTGCTCCTTATTGCCGTGCAGGATGGCCCCCGTTTCACAGGAATTGGTGACTGATAAAATTGATTGTTTCAATGAAATCAGGACAACTAGTTTAGTTTTTTGTTTGTTTGTTTGTTTGTTTGTTTGTTTTGAGAGGTTTTTGCTATAGGGCACGTGTACTTGCCAGAAAGACAGAGAGAGACAGAGAGACAGAAAGTGAGAAATCATGCCCCAGGAGGGATGGTCACGCCACAATCCCTTCTCCTCCATTCTCCTCTCGGGATCTTGGCCACACACACACATGTACCCAACGTGAGTTTTAAGCCACTGGGTCCGGAACTCGAACCGCGGTCAACTACGTAGAAGTCCAGCAACACAGCCATTACGCTAACTGCTGGTCCCAGTGTTCCCCATCTTAAAACTAACTAATTGTTCTTAAAGGGAGTAGTGTCCCCTCTTTGAATTGTAACTTCGGAAAGAAATACACACCTTGAATTTAGTCGTGGTTTATTAGCACTGTTCATGAGTCTGCTTACATATTATTTTACTTATCCTACTCTTCAACAAATGACATTATAAAATTCAGTTCAATAATTACTACAGTTTACTTAATAGTATATTTCATATTTTCTTGATAAGAATTAAAAGGTTTGGTTCTGAATTTTCTAAATTATTACAAAATTCCACTAGAATTCTAAGAGAGGGGTGCTGTGGCTACTCGCTCTAGCTTCCTACTCAGGTGCTGTCCACACCCTCCCCCATGCTCCAGCCATCCCTGCAGGTTCATCTCTCCACATTTTTTTTTTTTTACATATATAGACTTCTTTCTCTTCTTCCATTCATTACCATGAGGAAGTTCAAACTGTAAATCAAGACTCAACTTAAGTGTTTCTTCTTAAGCTTATTCCTTCCTTCCAACTTATGCTTTCAAATGAATTTTCCTGGGACTCCTCAAATATAAACTGATCATACACCCCAAGACTATGTAGTCCTTGAAGACAAGGGCAATCTTACTCATCCTTTAATATTTTTTAAGAATTATTTTATCTAACTTTATTTAATAATTTATTTTAATTTGACCAGAGAGGGACAGAGTGAGAGAAAGAGAGGGGACGGGGGAAAGTGAGAAAGCAAGCCACCAGGTCTGGGACTTGAACCGTGTTCCATCAAGTGAGAGTCCAACACCCTTCACCTGTCGAGCCCTCATCCTTTAATTCTTACAACCTACCTTAGAGGAGTTGTGTACGCTATCAATGGAAAACTAGTGGATAATAATTGGAAGGAACAACAATGAAATCAGAGCAGTCTAGGAACTATTAAAATAAAAATAATCAGCATGTAATTAATAATATGAGCATGAAAGAAAAACATCTCAATAGAACAGAGTGGGAAGAACAGAAACATAGCACATAAATGAATATAATATATGGTAATAGAGATAAAAGCAGAAAAATTGTTGTAATTATTTAACAAATAACATTCAAATACCTAGCTAACAATTTGGAAGTTTGGATAGGAATAGAGTCAAACTTCACAAAAAAGTTACTAAATAACTTCAAGTAAGATAAATATTTTAAAACATCACAATATACATTACAAGAAAAACTGAAAAAGGACAATTGTGGACTTATGAGGCATTTGCAAAACATCTTTCAGCCTAGAAAGATATTGACAAAATTAATTATGCTGTAAGATTTTATTACCATGAAAAACTAAGGTAATTAAAATAAAAAGGAAATTACTCTGAAAAATATTAAAAGCAAGCTA